GCATTTACCAAGCATTTATTATGTGGGAAACCAGAATCTGACCATAACCTACCACCCATCCCCATGAAGGTCTCAATCCAGTAGGGGAGTCAGACACAGAATTAAATCACTGTAGATACAGTAAAATAATAGATCTTATACAGGTACAAGTAAATTACTAGAATTCTCATTTCTTATTCCAAATTTTATTGTTACATTTTTCAGTTTTTTATACAATGGCTAAATTCAAATATATAAACTCTATGATTTTTTTCCAAAGCACTATTAATATTGCTATCATCTTATCATATAAATTTGATCTTTTCATTGTTTTATTCATGGTTTCTTTTTTTTTACTTTTAATTTTTTTATTACTCATGATTTTGTGTTGTTATCTTCCTTTCCCCTTTTTATGGCTTTTAAATATTTACTTATTTAATACATATTTGAAGGTAAGTTTTTATGTTAGTGGTAGTAGTAACATGACTTACTACATTTTTTCTGGTTAATTACTCTTTTGGTGCTATTAACTATACTTTGAATGCATGTCTTCATTTTGTTACTATTAAACATATCTTTGTAGGTTTATGAGCCAAGGGCAGGCCACCCCAAAATGTGCCACTTTGCTATATTGGTTATTTTGCATTAAACTTACTTAAGAGTCAGCTGGTGTAGGAAGGACACTCTGCCCTACACTTTGTCCCCCCGAAAGCAGGAAATAAATCTCCCATGAAAAAGATGTCCTCTCTGAACCAGGAGGTGAAGAGACATCCTTATCACCAGAGATGGGAAATTTAGAGCAGAGAGGGCTGAATAAACTTTTGTTACTTTTTATTAATTTACTACCCCAACCCAAATTCTGTTTACAATTCCTCACTAATTAAAGCTCCCAAAGTTAAGTTTTCTTTGTCCTGTCAATTCCTTATAGATTTATTGCCTATTTGTCTAAAAAGTATAAAAACTGCCTGCCTTGATCATTTCTTTAGTTCTCAGTTTCAATAATGGATCTCCATGGGCACATAATAAAACTGTGTTTTTTTTTTCCTCCCGTTATTCTGTCTCATGTCAATTTAATTTTTAGTCCAGCTGGAAGAGTTTGAGGGACAGAGGAGGGATTTTTCCTCCTCTACAGAGGCTGCAATTAGTTGTGTTTTATTTTAAAATTTAGAAGAGGCTCTTTTTAACAGAAACTACAAGGATGTTTACAGTAAAAGGTATTTATCAGACACATTTTGGATTTTCTCTTTTATCCTACAAGTTCACTGTTCCTGTTCCCAGAGTTTTCTTTTCACATACTCATATTATGTGCAATTGATGCTTTTAAACTCTTCCTCCCTCTTTTAAACTCATTTGGAAGATAACTCTAGCTCATCTCATTTTCCTTCCATTTTAAAATATTAACACGAGTTTTTAGAACTCTATTTTCCCTCCTATTTTTTTTTCTGTTTTTAAATTAGCATACTACTTCTCTACTCTCTGAGAAACCACTTCTCCACTCTCTGAGGCAGCCTTCTGGCCTAAACCTCTGTCAGTAGACCTTGTTGATTTTAACTAAAGTGGCTGCAAGTGCCCTTGGGGGCCTTCCAACCATCCACACAGACCCAGGGGCTACAGATCACTGGAAGGTGGGGCTCAGCCAGTGATCATTTAATCTCTTCCAACTGTTCTACCTCCCACTTGGAGGACACACTAGCATCCCTTCTATCCCCAGGTCCTTTTCAACATCAGTGTCCTCCGCAGCATTGAACTCAACATTCCAGCTCACAGTGTGTACATAAAGGAATGTTGCAGAACACACTGCCCGGCAGTGAAGGATATAGAGGTGAGAAAAGAAAAGGCTTTCTTTGCTACTAGAAGGAGGGTCAGTCTAGAAGTGAAACGGAGCTGACATTCGGCAATTAGCAGAGACTTGATGTGTTCGAGGTCCTATGGGTCCTGAGACAAGTGGACCGAGCAGTAGGGCTATGTGTTGTGGGGGTGGGGTGGGGTGGGCAGGCACATGCTCTCTAAGGCCAGTGAACTGTTATCAGTTCTCTGAGACGTGACTTGGAGAGTTAACCCTTGTGCCTTCTCAGAAAATCTGACATAAAAGTCAATACATCTGAGAAAGTACATTTTGTACTTTTTGTGGTTTGGAGCAAAGCAGGATATATTGAGGGGGAGGGTGGTATAAGCTTGAGACTTACGGCTCTGTTTTTGCAGGAAGACCTTAGCTCTTCACACTCCTGAGCACCTCCAGTACACCCATACATGGCTGAGAGTCAGCTCTGCCCTACAGAGACAGCAAACCACCTCCCTAGAATGAATGCCACCAAATAAGGATGCAAATCATAGAAACCGCTTTAACTCCCCAAAGCCAGAGAGAGTCCCTGTATATTCACTGCCCATTAGCCTCGAAGTTAAAGGGAGAGGTTATCTTGTGGTGTCTGTGAGTGATTGAATGAAGTCCAGGACAACGTTTTGAAGAACTGTGTGGAGAGGTGAGAAAAATAATACCAGCACCGTTGGTGTAAATGGACAAACTACAGGCCTCGTGCTGCCCCCTGGAATTCTGAGGGTGCACCCTGCTTATTACAGTTCTTGCTTATAGCTGCTCAACAGGACGGCCACATTCCCCTTTCCCTCAGCTTACCCACCTCCTCTCATTTCTCCTACGGTGTGAGGGAACAATGACAACTCACAATTCGCGGAAAGGTGAAAGTGGGGGTTTGTACAACCACGGAGAGGGGAGAAATCCATAGCGTCCCCTTGACCAAATGTAACTTTATTCCCTGCTTCTCAGGCTACCTGTGGAAAAGGGATAATTTTGTTTTTTAAGTTTCTAATCCATCACAGCCTAATTCTTTTATAAAATATCATAAAAATGAATTACTGGAAAAATTAAAAGGCATAATTAGATTCAACAGGCATGAAATGTCTCTGCCAGACTTAATCTCAATTTCAGTACTCAGCTTGTCACAGATGGGTGATAACAGTTTGCTGACTTGCTCTGGGTTGTGGACAGCCTTGGAGTACCACTTTCCAAAGTTAAACATCCATTAACCTTTTTAAACACACATTTATTGAAATCTCTCCACGTTTCTCTCGTTCTTTCCTTCTTTCTTTTCTTTCCGTTTTTCTTTCTTTCTTTCTTTCTTTCCTTCCTTCCTTCCTTCCCTCTTCTTTCTTCTTTCTTTCTCTATTATCTATCATCTATGTATCTATGTATTATCTATGTATCTATGTATCTATCTGTGTATCTATGTATGTATCTATCTATCATCTATCACCTATCTTTTACCTTGTATATTATTGCTCCTGTAGTTTCAAGCTGTATGCTTGATTTATGTTCTGTTCTTCTCTACTCTATTCTATTCCATTTTACTTTGTATCCACTCCATTCCATTCTGAATTTGTTTAGCTTGTGGCCACAAGAGCATCTTTTTCTAGCGGATCCCAAAACAACTGGGTAGAAGGTATGTGTATATGATTTTGGTAATAATGCCCATAACAGTGAACCACAATGTGTTAAGAATTTGTGGGTGAGTAGTCACTTGGTGACTTGTGAATGTCCTTTTCATATTTCCTAATGCAGTTTTTTAAGTAAATGATAAAAGTTACCTTAAAAAGTGAATCTGTTTCTATTTTAGGTTTGGAATCCTTTGTTTTTTGATAGAAATCTTCAGGGGTTGTTTTGGTTGTCAGAAATTCTTTTGGATATTCTTTGGTTATACCTTAAGATTTCACAAGGAAATGCCTAATTGACTAGTTTTCTTCAGATACTTTACCACTTCCTTTAAAAAAAATTAAGAGTGCTTTTTTTTTAAAAAAAAAGATTTTATTTATTTGAGAGAGAAAGAGAAAGCATGGGTAGAGGGAAGAGGAAGAGGCAGAGGGAGAAGCAGGCTCCCCACTGAGCAGGGAGCCTGATGCAGGACCCTATCCCAGGACCCCGGGATCATGACCTGAGCCAAAGGCAGACGCTTAATCGACTGAGCCACTCAGGCACCCCAAAAGCGCTTATTTTTTAAGATGATATCTCACTTAGTTTTATTCTTGAACTATTTATTACTTTTATCTTTTTAAGGCGTTAACAATCTTTTTCAGTCCGATGTATTATATGTCTTCTGTGTCCGGCTAGGCCCAAATTAGCATATCTGGGACCTAATGCTCATGGTGAGTGTTTTGTTTATTTTAGATTTGTGTTGATTTTTATCTAAACCCTGGACTTCTCATAGTCTAAGAGGCAAAATCTATAGTCGTTCATATTCTTGTATCTTTTACGTTACTTACATTCCTCCTGGAACTGTGTAAGATTATGACCTTGCATTTTTAGGGGAGGAAGAAAATATTTTTCTTTCTACCCTTCTAGATTTTCAGCTAGGGCTTGATGGGAGAAAATGGAACAAAGGCCAGACTTTTCTGTGGCTCATAGTCCCCAGGCAGGATTCTCCTACAGCTACCCCAAGCACTTCCTTTAATGTTTTACCAGCTTTGCTCTGGTTAGCGTTACTTTGTTCTGGTAACTGTAAATATCCCTCCAGTCCCATATATGTTAGCAGTCATCCTTCAAACATATGGCCCGCTGATATACATCAGAAGGGTCTCATGACTAACGTTTTACTAGACAGTAGTAAATAACCTTAACAGTAGCTAGCCCCTCAAGGTCCTGGAAACCTTGCTTCCAAATTCCTTAGAGACTTAACGCTATCCCTGACCCCCACTAACTAAAAAAAGCATATAATCAGTTACTCCTCACAAGGCCAGTGCAGATCTTTCTGCCCATGGGTTCCATCCCCCTGCTGTAATAAAAGCACCATTTTGCACTGAAAACTGCTTAAAAATTCTTTTTTGATCCTTAGCTAGCTCACGGCCCCACATCAGGACTCTGTAACAAAAGGCAGATCAACGAGAGAAAAACAAACAAGTTTATTAACATGTTTATCTTATGTATGCATTGGAGAAACTCGGGGATGAGTGACTCCAAGTTTTATTTACAGCCTGGTCTTTGCAAGGAAAGACATTTTTGGGGAAGTGACAAGATAAAGGAAAAGGACTTTGGATCCCCACCGGCAACAAATTGTGTGAAAGCAACTATGAGGGAAACAAGTCTCCCTTACCTCAGTTTGGTATGTAGATTTCTGCTGTGCCTCCAGGCTGGATAAGGGACTAAAATTGTCTCTGGTGATTAGCTTTTGTCCTTTCTGGTAGAGAGGGGGAAGGAGACACTTTGGTAAATTTATGTCTTGCTTTTAGGCAAATAGGAGGAGAGCAGAGAGCATTTTTGTGTCTGCTTGTTCTTAATTGCCTTCATTCTGAAATAATCCATGTGCCAAACTGGCATATTTTGGAGTGGTCAAACTTTGTTACTCTTCACATTTAAGGCAATAAAACTTGAAAATTAGAGGAAGGCGTTTTTTCTTTCAATGTTGCTCCTAAGAAAGATCAATGAGAAAGTAATATTAATGCATATATGAGATTTAATACCTGGGCTTTTTAAAACAGAGCGCAATGAAAATCACATCTCTGATTACACAAAACTAAATACAGATCACGGAGTAAAAACAGGAGTGAAAGACTCAAGAGAAAGGGGAGATAGAAACGATTTAAAGACCTACTCCGAACTAGATGCGGATTTAAAAAGAAAAGCAAATTCCTTTCTTGGATACCATAGTCCTTAAGAGCACAGATTCTGGAGCCAGACGACCTAGGTTCAGATCATCTGACATCATTTATATAATCGTCTTTGCCTGGAAGCTATGAGTATGAAGATGGGTATGACATATTTTCTGCTCTTTGAGAGCCATCAGTAACTCTTATAAACAAAATATAAAACAGTGAGAGTTAAATGTTCTAAGACAACAAATAGATGGGTGGACAGAAGTGAATAGACAGTGTGAGTGTCAGTGGTTATAGTCAATAAGTGAAGAAACAGAGACGTAAAGAGTTTGGGATTTACTTTTGAGCCCTTGGCTAGCAAGCCCGGGGCTGAGACTATGACTTCGTGAGCCATCTCCAAGTAGAGAACTAGGGCTCTTTTCCCTCTGCAGCCTTATCTTAGCCTCTATCCTTACTAGCTTTGTGAACTTTGGGAAGTGACTCAGGCTCTCTGAGCCTGAGTTGGTGTTATCTGTAAAACAGAGCTAATAACAGTACCTATTTCTGGAACTTGTTATGAGTATTGAATGAGATAGCGTGTATAAAGTGCTTTACAGAATGCCTGGCTCACAGCAAGCATTCAGTATATCTTGCCTTTTATTAATAGTCATACAAATATTTTATTTCATTCCAGTACTGCTTGTGGAGAGCAGATTACGTACTTGGAGTCACATAGTCAAGATTAGTTCTATTTTTGTATACATTTTTTTGTTTCTGGGTGGAGTACACAAGACAGAAACAATCAGAAATAATACATATAGAGAGAGAAATACTACAATTACAAGGCAAAGCCTTCCCAGAAGAAGTAATTAATTGCAAAATGAAGTGACTTGGGTTTTCCCCTTCCTCTTTAAGCTTCCACAAGAGGCTATGCCGTACTTCAAAACACTGCAACATGTGAGCTTCAGAAAGGAGAAGAGAAAAAAAAAAAAGATTTCTGGACAACCAGTCTGTATAAAATACCTAAGGCAATTCTTGGCACCAAAAACGTGTTCACTGTAAGTTAAACTGACTTTATGTGATTATTGAATATGTCTTCTATGCCATCTTCACAAATACTCACTATCCCCAAACAAACTAGGTTTGTCAACTTCAAGGTCGAAACAGTGCCAAAAAAAGAGAACATTTCTCTGGGTGGGGGAAATTTATGGCTTCATCTGCGAGTCATTTGTAATAAATTATCTAAAAATATATGCTTTTAAGAGTTCGGGCCAGTTTCAAAATGTGAAAAAGTTAAATTTATCAAAGCTATCTTTTTTGTGTTGTTGTTCTTGTTTGAAAGATAATTGTGAACTAAGTGATAGAGAGTGTCATTGAATGCCAAGTGAATTAGGGAACCGTGGGAAGCAAGGCTTCTGATGAGAAGATCATGCTCCAGTTCTAGGGTGCAGAGGTGCCATTCTTTAAGCTGTTCAGCTGCAGATCCAACCTGTGTTCACTAAGCCCTGGGGTGGCACACAGTCTGTATGGGGCACTGGAGGTACCAGTAACCACTGGTCAGGTTCCCACTGGAAAGACAAGACATACACTCAGACGTCAACCCAATGACACTGTCCAAAGTCAATAAAAATCCCATAATGAGGAATCACAGTGTAGAATGTGATGCAGCCCTGAGGAGAGGCATAAGCAGGAAGTTCTGTGAGTTAGGGGAAGAAGAAAGCTCTGTGGTCTGCAAGCATCTGGAAGGCTTCATGGAAGAGGTGAGATCTTGGGCTGAAACTCAGTGGGAGCATAGCGTCAGGAGAGGTGTGAAAGAGGTGAGTTCCTGGGGAATAAGCAAGGGTTGCTGCTGCATAATGGGAGCAGGCAGGGATACATTTGGCACTCAGGAAACCCACTGGGGCATCTCTTAGTACTCCTGTGCTATGGCCTCATAAAACATGGCAACTGGGGCCCCAGACTCCTCAGAGGAGAGGATAAGCATGTTTCATTTGCTTGAGGGAACTAGTCTCACTGAGGTACAAAAGGAGTGAATGAGAATCTGGAGAAGTGTTCAGAAATCCCACTGTTATATGGGCACAGTGCAGACATTTAATGAAGCTCAAGAAATTCATAATTCTTTTTTGCGGTGTATCAGCTGAGACAGCCTATTACAAGTGCAGTTGCCTTGGCTCAGCTGAAATGTGACCGAGTCTAAGTTCCGTGAATGCATCTTGCAGTTCAGAACTTGACTATATACTAAGTGTAGGTTAGAGACACTACCCATGTTCCTCACCCTGAGGACTTGGTGGTTCAGGAAACTACTTCATGCTACAAGAACTTGTGGTTGTCTAAGAATTTCCTCTGGCAAGCTCACATGCCTTGGCCTGATGTCAGGTACGCTATAAATGCTGGGGAATTAATATCCTCAGAGCAGTTCTCATCTAATGGGAATTAGTGCTTGAAACAGCCCAGATTTCTCAGTTCTTCAGTCATCTCTGAGATGTGTACCACACTGCCCCCTGGAGGCTGAAACCCAGTCTCCCACAAAGGTGTTCTCTTGGCTCCAGCTTCATGCCTGTCCCCATTCTCCATCCCCCTACAGATATTTCCTGGGATCTTATTCCAAGTCTCTTTGCAATAAATCTTTGGGTCAGGGTCTGCTTCCGGGGGAACCCAAATGAAGACAGACAGTTTGAACCTCAGGACTTTCATATTCCCATGAATGTTCTCCACCGAGATGAGGTTCCTGTAAAAGGCTATTTACCTGTGGTGCTGCTTGGCAGGTTCAGAGCACACTCCTCTGGAAAATGTTTCAGCCACTGTAACTCATGTTTATGAATACGGTTAGTCAGGATAAAATTTTTTTTTCTTTTGACTCTGGTCTGAATAATCATGAGTGGTATTGCAAACAGAATGTTTTAGCAGAAGAAAATCAAGGAAATTAGGGAAATCACAATCATTCCCGAAGTGGTGGGAAGCTCTTCTGCAAGTCACTGATTGAGCAAGTATTTATCAAGCCTTGTTTATGCACAGGGCACTGTGTGGTACCAAGATCATTGTAATTGTAAATTTGATTTTGGAGAATGCATCCCATAGTCATGAAAGCCAGGAGGATATTCATGTTGGTTAACTAAAAAGGAATGAAACAGATTTGTAAGCACACAACTTGCTCAGATACTGTCTATGGAATCAGGATCTAGGGAGGAATTCCTTCCTGTTTTTTTGAGTGAAGATAAGCAATTGCCAAAGAAGTGCATATCCAGATCCCTAAGGTGGCTGGTTAGTGGGTGCTAACATTCATTAGGTTTTGTGAAATGTGACACAGTTTTTAAAAAATAAATCACTCTATTTCATATTCCACCTCATATAGTCTTTAGCTTTTTCTAATTGCTTTCCATAAGCTTGTTTTGTCTCCACAACACAATTGTGAGATGTGTTGTATCATCCCACTATATTGTATAACTATAAAGACACATGAGAAGTTCACCCACTTATTAATGTTACAAGTGTTCACTGCATGATTGTTGTGTCCCAGGCACTGCCTTCTGGGCACTGATGCCCACTCACTACCACAACCCCCATCTCCCCTTGCCATGAAAAAGCAATAGAGAACACATAGTCTCAACTTACAGGGAGTTTCTGGTTCATTTGCAGAAACAGGCAAAGAAAGAGGAATTTTCAAAATGGTATGGTAAGTGCTAAGAAAGAAGAGAGTATGGGGTGGAGGAATTCCAGTTCATTCAGATTTGGGAAGGCTGAGAGAACAAGTGGGGTCAGGGACAAACCCAGAGTATGTGTCATCTAAACCTCATGTGTATGTGCTTTAAGGACTTAGCTAGATAGAGGGCACTGGAGGCTGAAGGGAAAACACAAGCAAGCATCTAGACATGGAGGAGAGCGTGGGGTGTTTGGGAACTAGGAGTGTTCAATAGAGCTGGAGTGTAGAGTCTGCTCAGGGCTGGCAAAAGAAAGGAAGTGAGTCAGAACATGAAGAGCTTGAATGCTCTGCTCCACAGTATAGACCATTTTGGAAGGGTAACTGGGAGAGATTGAAATTTCTTTAACAGATTAGTAAAAAAGTCAGATTTTCACTTTAGTTTGCTTTGACTGCTCCATGGAAACTGAATTGTGGGAGAAAAAGACTGGAAGGCAGGAGACCATTTAGGAGGTAGTAAGTGGCCTTGAAGGATCAGGTGATAGAGTGATTGGGCTGGCATCAGCAGAAATGGAGAGATGTCGGTAGAAGTGTTAAGAGGGGAAGAGAGGCTACATGTAAGGAGGTGTGTGTGTGTGTGTGTGTGTGTGGTGGGGGGGCATGGAAAGTAAGTGCACTTCATGCAGAAGGGGGTGCTGGGCTGAGGAAGGAGACATGACTTAGCCTAGCTTCCGGGGTGACTAGAAATTTCATTCCTTTTGTTGTTTCTTACACTTGAAACTCTTTTCTACAAGATCTGATCACGTGTGACAAAACCCAGCAAACTCTCTCTTTTGGTCTGAATCTGCTGACAAGGCAAAACAGACACTTCAGCTTCTTGTTCTTTATCTCATGGTTGATTAACAGAGATTAAAACTCTGTGCTCTCAGAAGTTTGCCATATTTGGGGAAAACAGCCATTTCCCGTTTTGAAGCCTAAAATTTATGTCTGCAGCTTGCAAAACCATAGTGTAAACCACCTCATTTGCAAACGTGTATAAAAGCTGAGTTGCTCCAAAGATGTTTAGACTAGGGTTGATACTGCTTGTGATAGTCTCCATCATATTTGTTTCCTAACTTGTCTGGTTTTTGTCTTACAGTTTGGTGCCATGACTCAGGATCAGACCTTGTCTTCAGATTCCCATTTACCCCAGCCAGGTAATAAGGCCCTTTGGAGCCTTTTGTGCTCCATTTCTGGCTGGAAACCCAGGGATCTAAAGGTGAGTCCTGATCCTGGTCTTATGTTCCAAACTTTTGTCTGTTGGAAGCATGGTAAGAATTTGATTTTGATTCTTTCTGAGTTCTTTAGTTGATTTCCAGTGGTGGAGTTTTGGTGTGTGTGTGTGTGTGTGTGTGTGTGTGTGTGTGTGTTTATTGTTAGACCATTTGGCTATCTCTGTAAATGAATTAAATGGTTTATAGATATTTTGTCTCTATTGAATGAAAGATAATGGAAATTGAGTTCATTACTCTTTTCTATTTGTTTATCCGTTTTTCTCCATTTTGAACTCAAATCCATTAAGAATTTGTATCCATTAGGAAGGAAAGAACTCTTTTTATATGAAAGTGAGTTTTGTATTTCTGGGTTTACCCCTAATGTATGGACTGAAATTTTGGAATTGAAGCTATAAGTTTTCTAGATCTAGACGTATGTTTATGTGTCTATAGGTATGTAATATTTTCCTGCCTCCAGATGGTATTACTAAATTGGATTACAAAATTTTTAAATAGAACTCTACTCTAATTCACAGACCTAACTAAGATCTTAAATGGGACTATTCCTAAAAATTCTCAAGTATTGAAAAAATTAAATTTTGAATACTTTCAATGTACTCAAAATACTTTCTTACAGGCAGTTACTCAAATGTTCTAAGAATTCAAGTTTACATAATTGAGGTTACTTTGGCAAATGAGACTAATTTAATTTGTTGGTTTAATAAGAACAGCTTTATCTTCTGAGTTGTCAGCATTAAGTGTAATACAAATGTACATTTTTATTTTACTTGGGCATGTTTCTCCTCAACTTGTAAAGGTGTGCTGATTTAATATGCTATCATTTCAGTTACTATATTTTAAGATTATAAAAAAATGTAAATTTGTATTTAGTCAAATTAAGTCATTATTTGGACAAACTGTATTTCAAAAATAATTTTGTTTTGTAGAATGTCAGCTTGAAGACAGTTTCCAAAATCATTTGGTAACTTAAAACCTTGGACTGATGCTAAATTGAGTTAATTCATGAATCATTAGATACCTAGATCAGATCTAAGTAGGATAAAATACTGAAGCATTAATTGCTAAATACAATTTCATTTTTATATACTTCTTGCCTCTTATTTTTATATAATACAGAAAGGCTATATATTTGGGTCTGTTAATGGACATGTTCATTTTTGCCACATTGAGACACTATATTATGAGGGATGTTCATGGCTATAAAAAATTATGAGATGTATATTTAAAAGCTCTGCTAGTCGGCTAGAAAATACTGGTATATGAAAGACAGGTTACAGTTATTTACTAACAGGCACTCCTTCCTTGACCAGACTTTAGTCAGGCTCCTGCGAGTCTTCTTCTAGATGAGCCTCGACCTTGGCTTACTGAGCTCCATTTTAGCAAAGAATCCTAAGCTAGTTAATTGACAACTGCTCCCCTTTATATCTGATCATCCTTGATATCTGATCGAGCTCCTCATCCCCTGCCCTGGATATCTAAGTCCCTGGCCTGCTTTTGGTAAGAATCTTGTTAAGCTAGTTTAGCAAGAATCTCCTTACTTTGGTATCTAAACAAGTTCCTCTCAATAATTTTCTATCCACTCACCCCCTCACTCAGCTCCTTGGCTGCGATCTCCAATTGTCTGTGTTGTGTAGAATGGGACTCAGGGCTACACTGAAGCCTCTCTCCCCTACTGCAGTAGCTCTAATAAGATCTGCCTCGCCATTTTGACACATGCCCTGGAAATACTTCTTCTCTTACACCACCTCCTAGTCTTCTCTATGCAATAGAAGTGGCTGTAGTGAAAACTTAGAATCAATATATGTGAATGAGGCTCTATTAGGAGTGAGAGCAGCAGAGAGGAACAACTTTGCATGCAAAGTGTGCAGGAGGTATTTTGTTAAGGAAAACAAGAGAAGCTTTGTTCCAAAGTAAAACAACTCATACCGAAATGAGAGAGAAAGAGATAAGTGTATGATAAAACTTGTCTGGATAGACAAAGTTGCAGATGGTTCACGGAACAGGAATTTTACTTCTTGTAGTCAAAGCTGGCTGAGGTTTACGAGTTTATTTATAAGATTTTTAGTAAGAGTGTTAGTACCAAATATGCTGTTTCAAAACTAGCATTTGGTTTTCTCTCTGTTAAAATGACAATTTTTTCTTAGATTACTGGAATTCTCTTAATAAGTGCTTATAAAATACTTTTCTCTACATTGAGAATAATCTGCCTAGAAAATAACTATTCAGGGTTTTATTAGAATAATTCCTATACTTGTTGATTTTGTCATATCTTTAATTACTTGAGAGAACAAAGTCTTTTCACTTAAAAAGAACTTAAGATCTTTATAGTCACATACCTCCTATGTCTACTTTAAAATTTATATTGTCATTTTGGTTAACTAGATAACCAACTCTTATTTCTTAGTAATCCATGATCCTATTTAATCAAGTGTTCAAACTTGACTGCTTTTTATATTTTACCTTCCAGAAATCAAATCCTAAATATCTTTTGCCAAGGAAATTGTCAAGGAAAAAAAAAAAAAGTTAAGTCTGGACCTAAGTAAGGAAAGACATTATTGAATAAGACTATTACAGAGAGATGCTCAAAGCCCGAGCCAAAACAGTTTCAGGCAAGGGGAGTGGGAGCAAAGCTTCTGTAAGCAGAGACCCTGGGATAGGTGTCTGTGGAAAGCACAAGAACGATGTCATGCTAACAGCTGGTGTGTGGGAGGGGCCTTGGAACTTAATGAACTGCATCAAATATTGTACTAATAGAAAAGTTGAGGCAGAAAAGTTGGTTTGTGCTCAGGCACATGGGCTTGGGATTCTGGGTCTCGGATGAAGTAAACAAGCTAAAGTGTACCTAGAGTTGAGACCTAGTGGTCTTCAGCAAAGCAGCCTAAACTCGTGTGAAGCACAAAGTTTCATCAGCCTTGTCAGTCCCTCTCCTTGTTCAAGGCGGGCTCAGAGAGACTCTCCATGAGTAATTCAGAGATAAGGAATAACTCAAACAGGAGATGGTTGAGTGAAACAGACCACAGGGTCAGCATTTTCTCAGTGATATCTCTAGTAGAAGGCTAGTTTACCATCTGTTTGGTGTGCAGGTGAAGGTCAGTTGTTTCAGTGTCCTTCAATGGGATGCCTAAAATGAAAAAGATAAATGTTAATATAAAGGAATATATTAAAGTGAAGAGCCAGAATTTGAACCCTAAGACTATCCAGCCCAGTGAAATCTAGGAGATCAGTGGATGAAATAGTTTGATTGTGCAGCACAGTTCCCTGAGTTGTATTATGCTCTTAATTATGTTGCCCAGAGTCTGGGTTACCTCCCTTATGAAGGCATGCATGACCTGAGCATTTCACCAGACTTTCTTAGTCACTCAGCAGCTTGTCCAGAGAAAAGTCTGGTCCATGCAAGGACTGATGCAGTGTTTCTTTAGATCCTGGAGAGGGGAGACCAATTACAAGGCAACTTAGAGTCCTAATAAGGATCTGGACAATCATGTTCATGCAATCATGAGCAGTTGCAGTTGCAATCATAGCAATCATGTTTAGTTGAAGTCAGGAGGAAGGGAGAAAAGTTGGACAGGTTAGTTTGAAAGGTTGTAGGCAGATATGAAGGAAACTGAAAGAATTGAAAATTTGGTAAGGGTTGACAATCTCTGTAAAGTAACAGATCCAAATCCGATTTATAAGTAGATATCAACACTAATTTATCCATAGTGGGAAAGGAAGCTAATTAGTGTCTATCAGACAAGACAAAGTTTGCATATCGACCAGTTACCTGCAATTTACAGAGGTGCAAAAGAGCTCAAAGACAATGAATAGGGTCAGAATCTGATGATCCAGAAGAGCATGCTTAGTTTCCCATTGAAACACAAAATGCTCTTACAGTCCCTTTTCCCCTTTTGATCAAAGACAATCTCAAAGAAAGATTATTCTTGATCACAAAACAAGGCTGGTCTCATTAGACATGACCTGTTTGTTTACACAGATGCAGCAAGAAGGACAAGTCAACACATGAGTCTTCTATTTGCTTTGCTGGACATTTTCATAAAGAACCTCAGATTGGACTTTTCAAAGCCTCTCATGGATAGGAAGCCAGGCCAAAACTTCACCATCATTTTTCACCTGCATTACCTAGTGATTTGGTGGGAAGTCCTCTCTTCCTGAGGTCCCCAGAATATCCTAAGGTTCCTGAGCCTGCCTTGCTCACCTATAAGGCTGGGAACTCTGTAAAGACGGTTACCAGGCCAGCTTCCCTAAGAGGGACTTTGTAAGCATTGGCCCCATAAAGTCTACCTTAATTCCTAAAAAGTGCCTGGTCACATCTGATGAAACGAGCATCCTTCTCAACTATGACATTCTAGACAATGCCAGCCTTGATTGCATAACCAGTGTTTCCAATTCTGTCCTATTAACAAGGTGGACAGACTCCTACTGAATCTATGCAAATAACTAGGGTGCCACGAAAACAGGAATCCTCAATAAGAGTTCCACAAATTTCACAGGGTGAGTCAGGGCAGAAAAGATCAATGTTTCATTTCTGCTTTACAAGAGCACAGTCTAATAAATTGTTATGAGGGATACATAGCTTGAGAGAAAAGAGAGAGTGGTTCCTTACATCCAGAAAACAGAGCATTAAGGCATCAGCACTGTTCCAAGCAAAACCCATGTCCATCTAGTTTATTCAGTGCTTTGTAATTAATTCTTGTTCCACTTGATCTGGGGTTAGTAGTCTCATGAACAAATCTGCTTCTTGACTAGAAGTCTGGAACTCTTGACTCAGTCCACTGGTATAATCTCATAATTATCGAAGCAATGCCATCAGCAGTCTGTACCCAAGAGTACCACTTCACCAGGCTCTTAAACAGGGATCTGATCTGAGAATATTTGTTGAAGATGGAGCACTCTGCCTTATAACTGATTCCAGGTGATTTCATGGAAGCATCAGGAGTAAAACAAAACATACAAGCTCTCTGTAGATGACAAAAGACTAGAAATG